GTATTTATTGAGTATCAATATACTTGGCCCTGTGGTGTTATAGGGGATACCTAGGTGTGGAAGAGAGCCTTTCTCTTTCAGGAGGTTCTCCTATAGTTATACTTGGGGAAGGCTTCCTGAGGAGGATAGGAAGAAATAGAAGTCATGAGATAAAGGGCATCCTGTTACTGCTTCTCTGTCCTCCAGATCTTAGACAAACTCTTGGACCGAGAGAGCCAGACACATAAGCCACAGACACTGAGTTCGTTCTACTCATCTAGCCGCCCAGCTACAGCCAGCCAGAGGTCTCCTTCAAAGCATGGGGGCCCATCTGCTCCAGGGGCCCTGCAACCACTGACCTCAGGCTCTGCAGGGCCTGCTCAGCCAGGGAGTGTGGCAGGGGCTGGGCCAGGCCCCACTGAGGGCTTCACGGAGAAGAATGTGCCTGGTGAGGTGGGGGCTTTGGGCAGGGGGGATGAGTGGTGTGGAGCCATGTTGGGGTCCTCTTTCCTGGGCTCACCTCTGTGCCCTGTTTTTCTCTAGAGAGTTCCCCACATTCCCCCTGTGAGGGTCTCCCATCAGAGGCAGCTTTGACTCCTAGGCCGGAAGGGAAGGTTCCTAGCCGCCTGGCACTTGGCAGTCGTGGAGGCTACAATGGACGAGGTTGGGGCTCCCCAGGGCGGCCTAAGAAGAAGCATACAGGTATGACAGCACATGGGATGGTATGGAGGAAAGATTATTCCTTGTCTGACTTCTGGAACTTCTGAGACTGACTTGTCTTGGGGGGGTCAGGCATGGCCAGCATTGACAGCAGCGCCCCCGAAACAACATCGGATAGTTCCCCCACTTTAAGCCGGAGGCCACTTCGAGGGGGCTGGGCCCCCACTTCCTGGGGTCGAGGACAAGACAGTGACAGCATTAGCAGCTCTTCCTCTGACTCCCTGGGCTCCTCCTCCTCCAGTGGAAGTCGCCGGGCCAGTGCTAGTGGAGGGGCCCGGGTGAAGACAGTTGAAGTCGGAAGGTCAGTGGGCAGAAACACCCATCTCCTTTGGCCCACCCAGAGCCACATCCCTGGCATAATCCAACTATTATCCCTGCATTGTTCTCACTTACCTGGTCTTTCCCAATCAATCTAGATACCTATTTCAGAGAAACCCCAATCCCCATCCCTACCCCATTGCCCCTTCAGGTACAAGGGCCGCCGTCCCGAGAGTCATGCCCCCCATGTACCCAATCAGCCATCAGAGGCAGCCGCACACTTCTACTTCGAGCTGGCGAAGACGGTGTTGGTCAAGGCAGGGGGCAACAGCAGTACTTCCATTTTCACACATCCATCCTCCTCAGGGGGCCACCAAGGTCCTCACCGCAACCTGCACCTTTGCGCCTTTGAGATTGGGCTTTATGCCCTTGGCCTGCACAACTTTGTTTCTCCCAACTGGCTCTCACGTACTTATTCTTCCCACGTTTCCTGGATTACAGGTAAATCCAGTGTCTTGATATGGGAGGGGATTAATAGAGATAAGAGCCTTATCCTTTACTGACCTGATAGGAGACACTATTCCCACTCCCCAGAGATGCCCATGCTAACCCAACTCTGCTTTTCTCTCCTTTCTTTAAAGGCCAGGCAATGGAGATTGGCAGTGCAGCCCTAACTATACTGGTAGAATGCTGGGATGGACACCTGACGCCCCCTGAGGTTGCATCCCTGGCTGACAGGGCATCACGGGCACGAGACTCCAATATGGTGAGGGCAGCGGCGGAGCTGGCCCTAAGCTGCCTGCCTCATGCCCATGCACTGAACCCTAATGAGATACAGCGGGCTCTGGTGCAGTGCAAGGAGCAGGTATTTCTACAGGCAATCTGGGGACTTGTTATGGAGCATCTGGGCAGGGAGGCTGGGCATAGAGAAAGCTGATGGCCAGCTCTTGACTTCCACATCCTGAAGTTCACAAACTATCCAGTCTATGCTGTCATGGTGACACTTGACATATGAATGTGCATTCACATCAATTATGTCTACCATGCCACTCTGAGGTTAGGATTATTCCTATTTTACAGATTAAAAAAATGGAGGCCTATTATTTAGGGACCAAATGATCACAAGGATGGAATACTTAGGGATGGCCTCTGGGAGATGGTGGGACTTGGATGGGAAGGAGTAGCTAGGTTAGTTTGGAAGTGGGACTATAACCTGGGTCTTAACTTCTGCTGTCAGCAACCGTTCAATTTGTGTGAAGCATTCACTGCTCCAAACACTTAACTGTGAGCATTGGCCCTAACCTCTGATGCTTCCTTGGGAACCAGCGAACTCTGAGGGAGACGTTGGAATGTCACTTAAAACTGTCCGAGTAAAGCCCTTCCCCCTTAACCCTCTGTGCCCCTTCCTTCCAGGATAACCTGATGTTGGAGAAGGCCTGCATGGCAGTGGAAGAGGCAGCTAAGGGTGGGGGTGTATACCCCGAAGTGTTGTTTGAGGTTGCTCACCAGTGGTTCTGGCTATATGAGCAAACAGCAGGTGGCTCATCCACAGCCCGTGAAGGGGCTACAAGCTGTAGTGCCAGTGGGATGAGGGCAGCTGGGGAGGCTGGGCGGGGGCTGCCTGAGGGCAGAGGGGGCCCAGGGACTGAGCCGGTGACAGTGGCAGCGGCAGTGACAGCAGCAGCCACAGTGGTGCCAGTCATCTCGGTGGGGTCCAGTTTATATCCAGGTCCAGGACTGGGGCATGGTCATTCCCCTGGCCTGCACCCCTACACTGCTCTACAGCCCCACCTGCCCTGCAGCCCTCAGTACCTCACCCACCCAGCTCACCCTGCCCACCCCATGCCTCATATGCCCCGGCCTGCCGTCTTCCCTGTGCCCAGCTCTGCATACCCACAGGTGAGACCAGACTTCTACTGGGGGAACACTGGGAGTTCATGGGGGGTTGGAGTGGGGTACTGTGGGAGAATAACAGGATTGTCCAAGAGTCCCATAAGGTGGCGGGAGTCTGGGGGACCCAGTCCAACTAGGATACGAAATGTAGGGATACCCAGTTGTGGTAGAAGGAGAACAACATTGTAATATTTTTTTTCTTTTCTTTTGCCTCCCTTTAGGGTGTGCATCCTGCATTCCTGGGGGCTCAGTACCCTTACTCGGTGACTCCCCCCTCACTCGCTGCCACTGCTGTGTCTTTCCCCGTCCCTTCCATGGCACCCATCACAGTACATCCCTACCACACAGAGCCAGGGCTCCCACTGCCCACCAGTGTGGCCTGTGAGTTGTGGGGACAGGGAACAGGTGAATGGAGGGGAGGAACACTGGGCAGGGGAAATGGGGAGGGAATCTTCTCTGTCCCTCTTTGGGCTGTCCCTCTTTCCTCACATGGCTTTCACCCTGCCCTCAGTGAGCAGTGTCCATCCAGCATCCACGTTTCCAGCCATCCAGGGTGCCTCATTGCCTACCCTGACCACACAGCCCAGCCCTCTGGTGAGCGGGGGTTTTCCACCACCCGAGGAGGAGTCGCACAGTCAGCCTGTCAGCCCACACAGCCTACACCACCTGCATGCTGCCTACCGTGTTGGTGAGAGGAGGTCCCTTTCTGTGCCCCCAGCTGAGGTTGTGCCAGAGGCTCTTCAGTGATGCCTCCTTCCCCACAGCTAATCTTATTTACTGTGGGGTTAGATGCCAGGTTGGGATAGAGGGTGAAGAGGATGCACACTACTGTGTACCAACCCATTTTTCCTAGGAATGCTGGCACTGGAAATGCTGGGTCGCCGGGCACACAATGATCACCCCAACAACTTCTCCCGCTCCCCCCCCTACACTGATGATGTCAAATGGTTGCTGGGGCTGGCAGCAAAGCTGGGTAACACCTCCCCTCCCCAGGACCATTGTCCGCCCCCACCTGCTTCCCCCACCTTCCTATCCCAGACCTCCTTCCTAGCTCTTGCTCAGAGTTGAGGCCTTGGTCGGGTATGTGTGCGCGCGCGGGGGGCGGGGGGTTACCTCAGCTCCTGGGGTGGAGGGAGGCTCTCTGCCAGGCCAGAGCTGAGATCAAAGTTGGGTCCCTAGGGCAGAGGTGGCCACCCCCGTCTCATGCCCCTCCCCCTGCCCCCCAGGAGTGAACTACGTGCACCAGTTCTGTGTGGGGGCAGCCAAGGGGGTGCTGAGCCCGTTTGTGCTGCAGGAGATCGTCATGGAGACGCTGCAGCGGCTGAGCCCTGCTCATGCCCACAACCACCTGCGTGCCCCGGCCTTCCACCAGCTGGTGCAGCGCTGCCAGCAGGCATACATGCAGGTGACAACCCATAAAGTAGGGAGCAGGGCTGGGTGGGGCGAGGTGCCACCTTCTGGGCAGTAGTGGAACAGATCACCCAGCATGCAAGGGAGAAGGGTCCGGGTTCTGTGCTGAGTGGCTTATCCTCTGCACACCCTCTTCCAGTACATCCACCACCGCTTGATTCACCTGACCCCTGCCGACTACGACGACTTTGTGAATGCGATCCGCAGTGCCCGCAGCGCCTTCTGCCTGACACCCATGGGCATGATGCAGTTCAACGACATCCTGCAGAACCTCAAGCGCAGCAAACAGACCAAGGAGCTATGGCAGCGGGTCTCACTAGAGATGACCACCTTCTCCCCCTGAGTCTGGCCCCTCTAGGGCCCTATACAGGGACACAGGCCTGTGGCCATAGGGGCTCCTCACACAGCAGGAGTGAATCCTGGCTGGACAGATCATCCCCACTCAGTTCGCTGGCAGCCCAGACTGGCAGCTGCTCTTGGGCTGTAGCTTGGGGCCAAGATGTCTCAGACCCAAGAAGCCTAGGGTTTGGGGAGACAGCCCTGACTGGGAGAGGGCGTTGGGTGACCTCTGGTATTTATTTGACATTTATAAACATATAAACTCCTTTTTTACTCTAGTCTGCCTGGGCCTTTCCCTTTTTTCCCGTCCTTGAGCAGATGAACCCTGAACCAGGATGGGGGAAAAGTATGATCCTTGCTTAATTCTAGGTTTATCTCACTCCAGTGAGGCAGACAAAACAGAAAAATAAGGATGTTTATTCAGGACTTTTCTAGCCCACAGCTAGGAGGGCTCATACTCAGCTCAATGAGCCACCATCCGACCTCATCCCCATTCAATGTGAATGACATTAGGGAGGCCAAGCCACAGGTAGATCCCATTGATCCAACAGTAAGTGGTCCCTCCCATAGCCAGGTACAGATAGATACACTCCTGGGGATGAAGAGGGAAGTTACTGGATTAATACATTCCTCTATACCCTGCCTGAACCTTCTTATTTCTCCCCACCTTCCAAGACCATGGATCAAAGGTGCCTAGTACCATGATGTGGGGTGTCAAGGGAAGCCCCTTTATTAAGACCCCAGAACTATGGGATAGGGATGCCCTTCCCTTCTCAGCCATCCCAGGCCTGGGGGCCACTGAGGTAGAAGAGGAAGGGGCCAGGCCACTAAGCCCCCTGTGGGCCCTGCTCTGGGCTTGCCCCTTAGGGAGGCAGGGGGCTTTTGCTGGTATGAGATGTTGGTACATCAGCCCAGACTGGAATGCTGCAATTCTTCCTGAAGCCATGAGGGCACTGGCTGTCCAAGCCGGCTCAGCAACTTTGAGAGCTCCAAATTGTGGTTCCGGAAAAAATCCATAAGAAAAAGGCGGGACTAATAGGAGGAAAATGGAGGCAGAAATGGTAAGGAGTGGGACGGACACAGTATCAGATCTTAGAGGTGGAGATGACTACCTTGCCCCAGGCTTTACTTACGTCAGTATCCATATCTGGGTACCTCCGGCCTTTGCTCTTGCCTAGACAGCGAGTCTTACCACCTTCAAGTCCCTGGCACCAGAATCCCTTATCTTCATCAAACCTGCTGAACAGGAAGAAGCCATTAGATGGCAGGGAGGAAAGAAATTCAAGTCTCATAAATGTATGCTACCTCTCCCAACTCGGACCTGTCTCTCCTTGTGGGACAGGGTAAATCCATGTCCCAGACAGACACGGTCAACTTGCTTCCCCATTTCCCCCAGAGTCATCCTCCCCTGGGTCATGCTCTCCCACCTGAGGGTCCGTGTGTAGTTCAGAAAGGGTGTGATACCCAGGAACTTCTGGATGCTCTCCATTGAGGCAGCTGGGTTGGTACGCAGCTCTTGCCCATCCACAATCAGCAACTAAAGGGACAGGGATGTAGGTCCTCTGTATTCCTTAGAAGCCTCTGGACTAAAGGGAAGATGGCAAGGGGGACCCCAACAAGGGCTACTGGGGTATTACCTGTCCAGAGGGGTAGTAATTCAGCCAGCGTTGTAGATGGGTGGAATAGTATCCAGGGACAAGACAGCGGTTCTGCAGGGAGTGAAGTGTCAGAGGGGCCTGGGAGGAGGCTGAGATCACCTGGTAGAAGGTATAGTTCAGAGCAACTGGGTCTCCATGTGCTCGCTGGTGCTGATGGACAAGGAATAGGAAGGGAAGGAATTGGTGATATGACAGTTATTCTGCCCCACTCTTGTTCTAGTGAACAACACAGGCACCCCTCCCCAAGGCACTGCTTTAGTTTCTCTACCCTCACTCCTTACTGACTTCTCTAGCAGCCACCACCTCCCTCCATTAAGCCCTAAAGTGTTCCTAGCTGCAGGCTTACCTGGTACCAGGAGTAGGCCCTGTCAGCAGGGTTGGTGAGCACAATGATGATCTTGGCTCGTGGCAGAAGGGCAGCACCCCGCCGTGGTACAATCTCTGAGTCAAAGTAGGTGGCACTTTTTTCAAATAGGAAGTCAGTGCTGGCATTAGAAGGGACAGGGAAGAAGTCCATATACCTAGGAAGTAACAGAGAGGAGAGGCAGAGAATGTGCAGAGTGAAGGGGCCAAATGTCTGTGTTGGTGGAAGCTGGGGTGGGGAATTGGGAGAAGGGAGTGTTCTGAGAAGCCTTCCAAGGGGTTCCAGTCTCACCAGTCAATGCCCTTGTGGTAATTAGGGCCACTGAAGAACTGAATCTCCTCAAAGGTGCTGGGGCTAGGGAAACTGCTAGTCACAGCTGGGTGCAGATTCAGGAAGAAGTGAATAGCTGTGGTCCCTAAATGGGAGAGAAGCCAGCTCAACAACATGAGCTTGAGAGAGGTGAGAAAATAGCCATTCTGGATAGTAAAATCCCCTTTGGTCAAATTAGAGGACAGAGACAAGGAAAGTCAGAGGGGCTGAGGGAAGGATTAAAACACAGTGGTTCTCAGCCTTGACTGGATCAGAATCACCTGTGGATCTAGAAAAAATCCAAAGATGGTTCTGAAGCACTACCATAATTAAGAATCATTGTCTCAAGAAACTGAATTAATGAAGGGGTGTATGAGAAGGGAGTTCCTTGGCCAAAGAATCATTTGGGTTTAAGGCAGGGGAAGAGAAGTTGGCTGAGGATGATTCACCTGTCTTTTGGGGTCCCACAATGAGGAATTTGGGGAGTCGATCACAGGTTTTCTCCTTGGACCAGATATCTTTGTGCCTCTTGTCATCGCATGGATTCTGAAGGTGAGGTCAAGGAATCAGGTAAGGCCTAATATTTGATTCAACCCCTGCTCCCATCATGTCTCTGGTCAGCTTGAGCTACACCCATACCTGCCAAAGGGGGCTTTGCTCTTGAGGGAAGAGTTCAAAGTATTTTCGTGCAAGAGGAACAGGAGGAAGGGTCTGAAGGCGCAGCCGTGTCCAGCACTGGAGGAAGCGCACCAGGCTCTCAAAGGTGTACAGGCCAAGCCGATCATTTCCATAATTGGACAGATGGGTCATAAAAATGCTGATCTGTAAGGGGGTGTCTGTGTATCAGATTTGAAGAGCCTACCCCATCTCAAAATCAGGTGTGGTGAACAAAGGTCCCAGCCTGCAAATACTTTGGTTCTCCAATGTTCTAGACCTTCCTCTTGGCACTTTACCGGATTAAGAAGCACTGTCAGAAAGAGCTCTCCACCTCGGATGCTCCGGTCTAGTTCACGAGAGCCTCCAGGATACTCATTATAGAAGATTGTGTGAGTGAAGAGGCCACAGGTCTGCCGTGGCAGCACCTGGAGAAGAAAGAAAAAACAGGGACAGATGAGATTTGAAAGGTAGAATAAGGACATAAGAACGAGAGGGCTTGTAGAGGGCTCAGTCTAGTTATAGCAATAAAACTCCTTCTATGGGTATTATAACTTTTCGCCCCAATAACCCCTATTATGTGGATGAACTTGGACTAGCAGTTGATAGGACATAGGTCAGTGCAACTTGAAGGCTGTCTAAAAGTGTGAGTTTGAAAAATTGTGAGTTTCATCCAAGTTTGTACTGGGAATCCCTCACCATAATGCCATTGTGAATGAAGCCACGGCGGTAGCGGGCAGGCCGGAGATGGGGATACTCCTCGGTGCTGGTCACCTGGATGCCCCACACAGATTTCCAGGCCTCATAGAGCTGCGTGTGGATGGGGTACACGCCCGAGTGGTGGGGGGCCACAGCATACCCCAGATCCGTGGGAATCCCATGCTCCTGGGAATGGCATAGACTCTCACCAGGACCTGGTGAGGTTTAGGGAGTAGAGGGTAAAAAGGGTGGGGATGCCTCCACAGAAAGAAAAATGGCAAGGGTAGGGAAAGGATACCCGATTAGGGGAAGGTTGAAAAGAGCCATCATCTCTGGAAAAAAGTATGGGGAAGAGATCCAAGGGTCTCACCAGAGCAAACTGTTTGTTGAGCCTCATCTGGTCAGCCAGCACAGAGCGATTGTGGAACAGGTGTGGCTGCATGTGGCTCCACATGTGGGGGAACCACCAGAACTCTTTGCGGTGTTTCAGCAGCATGTCGTCCCCTGCGTCCTCCTCCTCTGTCCCTATGACCACACACTGACCACTGACCATAGCCAGTAGGCAGCCCATGCCCCTCTTTGTTCTGTAACAACACTGACCACCTTCCATCCTTGGGACAACATTGCTGACTTCTGCCCACCTAAGGCTGTCTATTTGCCTCACCCTCACTGCCAACCTGCCCTCTAGCCATCCACCCATGCTAGTTCTTCACAGCATTCTGACCCCAAACCTTGCCCCTTGTCTGCAACTTGTCACCCAGGAAGATGGACAATGAAAGGACAAATCTAACTAAGATTGATATGCTGAAAGAGCAAGGGAATAAGCTCACCAGTATGATAGAACTTGCCCGAGAAGCCCAAGTTGAAGGTGAAATTGGGGACTAATGTCCTGAGTTTGTTCTGGGTGGTCAACAGAGCCTGGGAAGAGTAGCACGGACACAAGAAATCAGGTGGGAGCAGACTGAGGAGAAACACAAGTAGTGTTCTTCCTGCCTGGAAAGGGCAGGGAGTATACCTCTTATAAGCTCAGAAACAAGGAAGGGAGTCTGATAGGACAGCACTTGAAACAGCTTCTAAGGAAAGAAATCTGAGAGAAGAAAAAGGACTGACCTCAACATCAGCCACCTTCATGCGGGTACCTTCCTTGCCCACAAAGATGTCATCAATGTCTACCAAGATATAGCGGTCAAGGTCGAGGCAGAGGCGCTTGCCAGTGAGGTATGCCACAGCATCAACGAAAACAAGTTTGTGGAGCCAGAAGGCAAGGCCATGGCCAAAGAGCACCCGCTGGATGCCATCATGAAGCCCCAGGTCCTGTACCACAGTGGGAAGCCGGGCCCGGTGAGGCACTGGTCCTGGTACAGGGGACTCAGCTGGCCGAAGGCTGGCAAGGAGCACTGGTTCATATGTGCTGTGATTGGATTGGAAGATGGTCCAGTCATCACCAGGCAGAGGCCCAGGTTCCAGGCGGCTGGGGCGTGTGAGATGCAGGAGCGGGGCAGAAGGATTCACTTGGTAGTCCCGGAGCCCCAAGTTTGAGTGTAGAAAAAGGGGAAAGCCCTTGAGCTGGGCACTCAGTAGGCTATGCTCATGGGCCCGGAAAAAGCCAATGATGCCTACACCATATTCCACACAGTACCGATCCAGCAGTTCCCGACTCCAAGCATCCAGGTTGACATACTTAAGCAGGTTCTCATAAATGATCAAGACATAGCGACCACGAGTATGATCAGTTAGTGTAGGCATGTCCCCTCGGCCAGGTGCCAACTCAGTGCTATAACGAAAACGACTAGACTCCAAGATGGCCACAATCTCCTGCCCCAGCTGTGAGTATGCACTCTCCACAAACACAAGGACCACAGGTTCAGTTCGAGATGTCTCTGGAGGCCTTGGGAGCCGGGGTGGGACTGGAGGCCATACAGGGCCAGGGCCAGCTGCCCCACCACTGCTGCAGTCTCCCAAAGGCAAGGGCAAGGGTTCCTTAGCCTTGGGGCTTGTGGATACATAGTAAGCCAGGAAGCCCATGGAGCCCAGACTGAAAGCAAGCAGCAGCAGTATGAGGCGGTGCAGTTCCAGCTGCCGGGCTGGGCGTACCACCTTCCACAGCTTGAGCATGGCGGGGGGGGGGGCAGGGGGGCAGGCAGGGATGGGGACCACCTCAGGGGACAGGAGGAGGAGTTCTATAGGCTGGGGTTCACTTGGGAGGGTGGAAAGATAGGAAAATAGAGGAAAGGGATTCCCTCACAGTTCCCTGAAGAGGTGTAGACAAGTACCCTAATTACAGGGTAGAGGAGGAAAAAGGGGCAACAGGGGGCAACTGGGCAGAGTCCATTGGTCTCAGGTTACCATGGCCCCATGGCTTCAGGATGCAAATCTAGCCAGGTTCCACCCTCAGTCCTGGCTGAGCTCCTCACATCAGATTTCAGCAAAGTTCACAATCTCGTCCCTCACTATCTGTAAGACAGAGAAGTCAATGGATTGTTTCTCACCTTGGAACTGTGCTATTACCCCATCCCCCTCTTCACCCCATGTCTCTTACCTCCTGTTCACAGGATGATTCGTTCTCCACCAAAACTCCTGTTGAAGAACAAAACAATCTGAGTCTCATACCTTAACTTTAGTTTGTTCCCTTTCTTAGAATACTGTTTAAATTCTCCCCAGAGCTAAGCTCAGACCTGGAGTATATTCAAGGGCTGGAAGGGTACAAATCAATCAACAAAAGGCCAAAACAGCCCAGGAGGCTGACAATGAACCTGCTCTGTAAGGAGTTCCCAGCCTATAACTGAACAGTTGGCCAGCCAGCAAGAGCTCTGGTCTCTCTGTGAGGAAGGGACAAAAAGCCCCAGAAGTCCGTGCTCCAACGAAATATAAGATAAGAGGAAACTCATGAGTCTGTTAATCTTCCTCATCAATCAAACCCAGTATCACAGGCTAACAGCCCCCACAAACTTGCAGTCAGGTGGACACTGTGGAACAAATGGTGATAGCTAATCATCCAATTAGTTTCCAAACCCAGAACTTGGGGACTCTTTTCCATTGCTTGTGAAAAATTAACCATCCCCTGCCCTTAACCTCACCTCTGCCAGCGTCAGGATAGGTTTAAAATGTAGCCCCAAAGCGGGCCACATCACTGAGAAAAGCCAGACACCTGAGTCCAGGGTGTTTCTCCCTATCTACTCTAGTTCTCCTTCCTAAATTAGCCTATGTGGTACTATATCCTCATCACTGAAGCTCAGAAGGGTCCTGACCCAGCCAGGAAAGACATGAGGTATTGAGTACTGTTAAAAGCAGAGCAAAGTGAGTGGCGCTGGATGACAGAGAGCCAAGCAATAAGAGAGAAAGAGGGCAGAGTAATCAGAAAACAATTTTAGGGAGACGCTTTTACTTAAGTAGACTACTTCCACAAGCTTTACTGTCACTTCCCCAGCTTAGTCACTCCTAGTAAAGCCAGTAGCTGGCAACCCTCTCTATGACCCACCCCCAGATCTCAGGGGTGATTAGGCAGAGACAGGGTTCTTCAAAATTGGGAGACAATTTCAGAATCGTTCAGCTTCGGCTTGGGTAAAGCTAACTGACACAAAAAGAGAGTTGGAAGAGGATCAAAATGGTGACAGGCAGTGGATCCTATGGGTACCTCATCCATAATGTTAAGTACAATGATTAACATTTATTGAGAGCTTACTCTTTGGCAGACTTTCTTCAAAGAACATTCCAGACATTTAATGCTCACACCAGCCCTTAGAGGTAGGTAAGAGGTAAATACTATTATTACCCCCATTTCACTTATGAGTAATTTGAGGTCCAGAGAAGCATAGTAACTTGCCCAGGATCACACAGCTCAGTCAGTGGAGGAACTGGGTTTCAAAGTCAGGCCTGTCAATCTCCATAGACCCGTGCTCTTAAGCAGTGCATTTTAGCTTCATACCTAGAAGAAGCAGTAATATTTAGGGAAGGGGTGCTGAGGAAGCTGTTGAGGTTGGATGTCGGTGGGATAATACATAAGGAAGTAGGAACACAGGGTGAAGCAGGCTGCTGTAATGTGTGTGCAGCAGTGGGAGGTCTCTGAGGGAGAAACCAAAGGGGTCATCCAGACCTGGGTTGGGAGACAGCAACAGCGTTGGCGGGGGAGGGGTGTCGGGGCGCGGAACGGTGGTCCGGCGCTGGGAGACAAGAGGTGCAGGTATTGTGGGCGGAGGTGGTGTCAAGCAGCGACACAGGCAAGGGGCCTGGCACACCGGGGTCAGGAATGAACGGACTCTGCTGAGGGGGAATATGAGATCACAGCTCTACAAAGAGAGCTCCGAATGTGGAGCATTAAGGGGCAAGAGGCAAGGGGCGCGCTGGGGAGAGGGTGGGATGACACCGAGGCAGGCACTGGGCAAGGAGAGCCCCGAGGGGAGGAGGCGGCCTGCGGCGAGGGTAACGAGGCAACTACGAGGGAAGCTAGTGCAAGGGACGAGAGGAGCGCTGGTCCGCACTGAGGGGCCGCCCCGGACGACCCTGCAGGCGGTTAGGGTGGTAACACTGCGGGAAGTCTGTAAGGGGAGGAACTGCGGGCGACAGTGGGTGGGGGCCACGCTCTGCGCGGGGGGTTATCCTTAAGGGCAGCTCACCCGGCGGACTAGGCGGCGTCCCCGCTGTCCCCGGGCTCCGCCGCGTCCCGGGGCTGCCCGGCTTCCCTGTTCTCGGGGCCTCCGGCCGCGTAGCGGCGGCTCCGCCATCTCCGAGCGAACCTTCTGCTGCAGCCGGGCCCAACCACCGCTCCCACTGGGGGGGGAGGCGGCGCGCTGCCGCTCGTGGCGCCCACTCTGGTCCCCACCGCCTCTGGGTCTGGGAGCCGCGCGGCCGAGATGCCAGACAGCCAAAAGGGCTTCCGCAGCGCTTGGCCGAACTTCGGCCGTCGCGACGGCAGGCTCCGCGACCGTCCCGCAGAGGCGCACCCCCTCCACCCGGTCCGTTGGCACAGTCTGGCGAGCGTTGGACGCTGCGACTCCCCCGGCAGGGGCGGGCCGAAGGCACGGGCGGGCCCACTCAGCCTTGCGGAGGGGAAGCAGGGCTGGCCCACTTAGGGGCGGGGGCGGCCCGGGGGCGGGGCGAGACCCCTAGCGCAGGGACCAAGGACCCGTTTCTTCCTCCCCACCCCAAAGTCGCCTCAGCAGTCGCTTGGACTGATGGACCACTGATGAGTTTATGTGGGAGTTTTGTTCTAAAATGGGCCCATAGAGAGTGGGAAAGGATTCATCTCTCCATCTGAATGAAGCCTTCTACCTAGGCTGTTGAAATCTAAGCCTCTGGCCTTAAGCCTCCAACGACGTAACACACAATGGACTGTTTAAAGGTTATTTTATTAAATATCTTCAGTTCAAGGTTTCATTGTAACAAAGCTATGAAGGGTCTACCAACATTCAGAACAAACACTATTTTTAAGTTATTTCTATGTCATCATGCAAAAATTCTGCATCAAATGCCTTCCATTTCCTGTTTAAAAGGTGTTTTGTTTTGTTTTGTTTTGTTTTAATAGTATATTGTCTATAGATGTTGACATTAGCCCCGGAAGAGAAGTGAGAATGCTAAGTGGGGCTGGAGCAGCCATATGAAGCTATGGGTCTTAATGAACTCTAAGACCATTTTTCTTCAAGCCAGCGAAATGAAACCCTGTGGTGAAGGTGTCTGCGTGCTGGTACTGCAGGCTGCAGGGCAGGAAAGGGCTAGGTCCCAGGGACTGGGGCATGCATGAGGTGCTCAGAGGAGCCTGGCTAAACCCAAGCACCAGCACCTGTGAGTCTGCTCTCTTCTCAGCTGGCTCCAAGGTAAACCCGTAATGTTGCCTTTTCTCCCAGCTCCTGTGCCTCCTGAAGGTAGTCCAGGGAGCTGGGGTCTACCTACCTTTGCCCCAATACTGTAGACAAGTCTGCAGAGTCTTTCTGGGAAAAGCAAGGCCATGACCAATTGCTCTACCATTGTCTTCTCTTCTATTTGTTTATAGAGTATAGGTCTTTTCCTCCCGGAATGGAACTCTTTGAGCACAAAGAGGGACAATGAATGTAGGAGCCTTGGCTCTGGACACCTCTTTTGGATACATGCAGGTGAAGAGGAGTGATACCCATGCAGATAGTCCAGCAGTAAATCTATACTTCAGTTGGTCAGTAGAGAGGCCTCTTTAAAGAGGACACCTCTTCTTGCCAGAGCAGTCAGGTCAATCTCAAAGACAGGAAAAGAGATGGACGTGCAGCATGGAAAGAGAAAGAAGAAAGGCAGCCCTGAGGGCTGCCTGAATGCATAGAACAACTATCAACTCAATCCCGCTGCCTCACTCCTCCCATCCCAAAGGGGCACTCGGCAGAGGGCCCAGGCCCAGATGAGGGTCAGCATGGGGGCCACCACCATGAAAAGGCAAGACAAAGATGGTCCAAATCTGCACAGAAACAGAACTGCCAAAGGCAGCAAGGGGAGCCATGACCAGGGCCTGGCTGGCTCTCTCCTTGCTAAGTTATAAGAAAACAATCACAAAGCAAAGCAGCAACCCCTCCCCCTTCCCAGCTGCAGGGATTGGGCCTCAATATCAGGGCCCACGTGCATTGTGCATCCTATAGAAATGGATGAGTGAGTACATGTCAGACTAACACGAGGTTTCTCATCGGCTTCATAGCAGACACACTTTTGCAGCACCAATTCTCTTCCCTTCTACACTAAATAGAACAGTACAGCTACAACCTGGCCCTCGGTCCTGAGGCCACCGTTTCTCAGCTGCCTCCACAGCAGGCTGGGAGCTCTGTGTTCTCTCTCAAGTAGGTCTGATGGCTATGATGTTCTCATCAGCCTCTTTCTAGGCGCCTACGCAAGTTTTGAAGAAGTCCGTTCCTAGACCTGGGGTAGGCAGGCCACCTCAGGGGCCACAATCACATCACAACCCCCAAAGCTTTGTCAGAGTTCTTGCCTGGTCCCCCGAGTCCATGAGGCCAGAGGCCTAGCTCACCTCTTCAGGGTTGGTGGGTGAGCCCACTGCTCATGCCAGGATGGGCGGGCGTCACACCAACTCCTGCCTTCTTGTTAGCCCAAGGGCTATTGGTGGTTTTAACACAGATCATGGTATGGATCCCATTTTTTTTTAACAATCTTTTTTTCTTTTTCTTTTAAATGTAAAAAACACCTCGGTACAGCAGAGACAGACACGAAGGGCGGGCGGGAGGGCTGCATGCAGGGGCGTGCATTGGCTGCTGCCGCTTTGTAATTTAATTGTTTTAAACCTCAAACGAACAGGACTGCCGCTGTCACTCAGGCCCTCCAGAGCCACTGGCTACGAAGGTTCGACCTCCAGCTGGGATGGATTAGGATATGCCCCTGTCAAACAGGACAGATGTGGTAACAGAACAGAGGACAATAAGCACACAGATGAATTCCAGGAACTTAAACATACTACACATGTGGTCAAGTCTGCCTGGAAGGTGAAGAATGGGGGAGAAGCTAATATTCAATGATAAGATTGCCTCACATTTGCTGAGTACTTACTAAATACTTTACTTACATGTATCTTATTTCATCCTCATGAAATAAGTCAACTCAATGAGGTAGGCACTATTCTTTCCCTCTTTTTTGACAGCTATGGGAACTGAGGCTTAGGGAAGGGAAGTAACCTGTGCAAGGCCACCCAATTTAGATCCAAGTCTGTCTAATATCAGGCATAACTTATTAAATCATACTGTTCAGCCTTTGCCACTTCTTTGGGATGGCCTATATCCCCTTTCCTCCCCCAGTGCCACCTCTCAACTTCTTCCTCCTCTGACCCCATCTGTCCCAGTCCCCATACCGCCCCCGACAGGTGCACCTGTGGCTGAGCTCACTGCAGTGGTGCAGCAGGGGCTCCTGAGCAGTGATAGTGGACGTTGAGCCACTTGCCATCCCGGCGGTGCCAGACCCGGGTCTCCTCTGACTGGCTGGTGCGAGGCCGACCCTGCCCATCAATGTACTGGGTGAGGCGGATGTAGGCGATGCAAGCTGCATCCTCCCCGATCACGTGGACATGTGGGTTCAGGATGGTGGTGTGGATGGGCTTGCTGTTCTTGGACAGAACTGCAGAGGGGGAGGGGGAGGGGCAGGGGGAGGAGGGAGGCGGGCATCAGACCCAGGCACTGGCATTTTTCTCCCAACCTATACTTCCAAGTCTCACCCTCTTTCCAACAACCATTCTGGAAGTGTCCAAGCCCCCCGTACACCTTCCGGAGGACAAGAAACCCCATCACGTTAATGTCAGTTAACCATAAGGAAGAGAAAGGTAGGGAATAATGTAGGAGCAGTTACTATTTCAATCAGATATTGTTCTGGGGGCTTTTCATCCATGAGTTGTATTCCTTTGTCTATATTTTCTTCATTATAAGATAAGGAAATAGGCTCAAGGAGGTTAAGTAATTTGCCCAAGCCACACATTTGAACTGACCTGACTTTTAACTGAAGCCTATGATCTTTGTACTCTGCCAGGCTGATGTGTACATTTTGTAAGGGTTGGCTTGTCCCTAATTAGGGCTGCAGAACAAAATAAAAAACTTAAAGTATTCAAAATTGGTTTGTGACTAAAAAAAAAAAGTCCAAAGCTAAAAATAGCAATATCAAAGCAGTAAATTCAGGATATTCCCAGGATTCCGTGACACTAGGGGGAAAGCCAAAAGAAATCAGATTGCCACTGTTAGCAAACACTACGAACTGTGTTGCTTTTATGAAGATTCACATTTTATTTCAATCTGAATGTTAGACAGGGGCTACAGGAGACCTTCCCTAGGGCTTCTATAAACTCTGGAATTGCTTCTGGCTGATAGAACTAGACAGCCTAAGGTTTACATTTACAGCTGAGACATGGAGAGAATGCTAGTTAGTAGAGAAAATGGTAACAAAACTCTGGGCAGGATGGAGAAGGCCCAGGATAAAGTGGAAAAGAAGGGAAAAAAATAAGGAGGGGAAGGTCTTAGTGGATAGAAAGATAGGAGAAGGTAATGATTCAGCTTCTTATCCCCTGGGACTTCCACAAACTGTCCAGGGTGCACCCTCCCCCTCCCAGCCAGGACTCCGCTGTCTCCCTCAATATTCAGAGGACCCTAGCCACAACTCCTGCTCTCACAAATCACCAACGGTGCCATTACTTGCTTGCACATTCTTATCCTGGCTTTAATCTCCTCTATTGTGAAACCTGTAGATACAGAGCTTCATTATTACTTGTTGAGATAATCTCAACCTAATCTGAAATGGTTTCCAATCAGTGAGGCTTAAAGAAATAGTGACCCTGATTGTGGCGACTAACACTGTCATGAAGCAGCTGCAGAATGAAGGGGCTCACAGGGCACAAGGAGGCAAGCACACATATCAGGGTGCAGCAGGTCGGTCAAAGAAGGGAAAAGTAGGCAACTGGGAAGAGGAGAAGGTGAGTGGGGACAGAGGCAAAGGGGGTGAAGGGGCAGGCAGGAGTATATCAGCAGCACGAACCCACTCACGATTCTCAAAGTAAAACTTATGGAAATCCATCCCCTCCACGAGGTTACCAAGAGCCTCAGGCTCAAAGGAAGTGAGGCCTGGATCGCAAATCTTCCTGCAGAAAAAAAAGTAACTGTCAGTCTTCTATGGGAATTGCTTGCCTTTCTTTCTTCTTCACCGGTGGTGTCTGTCCTGCACACGTTAGCCGTGGGCTAGGCCTGATACCATGGCTGCTAAGCCACTTAGCCCTGCCCTTTCAGCCCACTGCCAGGACACCACGGGTGGGCCCAATCACAGGGTGGGAAGGCCTTCCAGCTTAGGGGCATGGTGTTTAACTCAGACACTGTGCCCAAGGCCCAGACTTCCCTTTTCCCAAGTTCCTAGCTCCTTTTTGGGAGGGTGGGAAGGCCGGCAGAGATGATGTGGGACTCAAAATGGGTCTTTACTCACGTGTAGGCCTCAAAGTCTCCATTGTTGATGGCCTCAATCAGTTGTTCTGTGATCT